CCCGCCTCAGCCTCCGGAGTAGCTAGGACTACAGGGGATCACCACCAAGCCTTCAGCTCCTGCCCTCTTATGTTCATGGATACCCCCCTACTCCATACCTCATCCATAAATATGAAAAGGGCAGAGGAAAAGTTTCTTCCTCCTCAACACTATTAAGACACATTCATGCCGGGCGCGGTGGCTCACGCCTGTAATCCCAGTGCTTTGGAAGGCTGAGGCGGGCGGATCACAAGGTCAGGAGATCCAGACCATCCTGGCTAACACGTTGAAACCCTGTCTCTACTAAAAATACGAAAAAATTAGCTGGGCGTGGTGGCGGGCGCCTGTAATCCCAGCTACTGGGAAGGCTGAGGCAGGAGAATGGCGTGAACTGGGGAGGCAAAGCTTGCAGTGAACCGAGATTGCGCCACTGCACTCCAGCCTGGGTGACAGAGCGAGATTCGTCTTAAAAAAAACGACGCATTCACGCTAGAGGTAATCAGTAAATATCTGTTCAATGAATGAATAAATGAATAATGAGGGGTTGGGTGGTCCCAGAGTCTTTGGTCAGTTTTCTCCTGGCATTTTGACCTTTCTAAACTGAAAGCTCTTTGCTGTCTTTTCCCAGGGATTTGCTGAATACAAGTTTGGCTATGAACTAATAACAAAAATAGCTAACATTATGTCTTGTGCCAGTTATTTTAAATAAATCATCCTAATTTATCTGCAAGGAAATTTCCATAGATGTCATTAAAATCTTTTCTTATAGATGAGGAAACAGGCTTCAGGAGGTTAATCTTCCCCAGGTCATACGTCAGCAAGTGGTAGAGCCGGGATGTGGGCCAGCACTCCCAAAGTCTGATCACTGCCTGTTGGGGCAAATCTCTATCTGCATCTTTGCTGCCTGAAAAGGCAGAGAATATTCCCATTTTATTTACAGAAAAACTAAAGTCACATGGTAAAATGACACGTCCCAAGTCATGGAATTTGTCAAATGGAGTCAGCATAAGACCCTTGGGTTTCCAACCCAATGCAAAATAAGTACTCTTGCTCCTCACAACATCAGTGAAAAAACCTAAGACAGACCATACACATGATAGCACTTTGAAGTGGGTGAGGAGCTACACAAATATACGGGATTATGATTGCTATGTGTCTGTGCTTTGAGCATTAAAGACTCCATTCTTTTTTTTTTTTTTTTTTTTTTTGAGACGGAGTCTTGCTCTGTGGCCCAGGCTGGAGTGCAGTGGCCAGATCTCAGCTCACTGCAAGCTCCGCCTCCTGGGTTCACGCCATTCTCCTGCCTCAGCCTCCCGAGTAGCTGGGACTACAGGCGCCGGCCACCTCGCCCGGCTAGTTTTTTGTATTTTTTTAGTAGAGACGGGGTTTCACCGTGTCAGCCAGGATGGTCTCTTTTTCCTCCCTCCCACTCCAGTGTGTCTAAGTGATCATGCCGAATCAATCCGAGGTGGGGTTGGGAGAGAGAAAGAAAAGCACTGAGGTGATGCCATGTGTTGTTAATGGGATGTTTAGATGTAAAATGATGTTACCAAGCAAAAAGGGCTCAGTGCTTGACGTGCTAGAAGCCAATAGTATGATACCAGGTTTTTGAGAAAAGCTTTTTATTGCAAGTTGACTAAAAAGACAGGAATCCAGCTCAAATGTGTCTCTCTCTACTAGGTTTAAGGTAGCAATTTTATTAGAAAAAAATTCATCGGTGGATTCTGGGATTAGTAGGTGATTGGCAGAAGGAAAGGGGAGGTCTAGAAAGTGCTGAGGCATGCACAGTTACCTCTTCATGCCACCACATGGATCATATGTCAACTTCAGGGGGAGTTCATATGAACCATGCACTGGAAATTCAGGCTGTGATGTCAGCAAATCATTTGCGCAAACTCCACTTGGTCATATTGGTTCCAAGCAATTTCAGCCAGTTTTTTAATATTACAAGTGGAGGGAGTTTCAGCAAGTTGTTTGTTTTCTCATCTGCTATCCTGCAAACTCAAGAATTTGTTAGTCACAGGCTTCTTTAATTCTTTGGGGCACTGTTTCAAAGGCTGCAGTTTTCCGTTGTTTAGCTATGAGCTAGCAGGCACTGTGCAGCTGGCATTCTGCTTTATGGTGGCAATTTCTTTCAGGAATGTCCCTTTGCTTCCAGATAGTTCATAGGTTTGAAGAACTATTCATCCTGGCTAAAGGAGATCAATATGTTCTACGCCTACGTACTTACCAGAAGATAATGATGCTCCTAAGGGGGATGAAAGGTGGGTGAAATGGGGACATAGGGAGCTTTTAAACACCAATAGCTGGCATATGTGAGCCCTGCACAGTGGTAAGTACTTTGCTTCTGTGCATTTTTCACTCATAAGTATTTACTGAGTACTTTCTGTGAATTAGTTACTAAATAACAGCAGGAACAAAATGAAGTCCCTTCTCTCTTGGATTTATATTCTTGCAGAGACAGACAAACAAATACGTAAATATAAACAAAAGCATTACATTCTCAAAATCACCTTTTGATTTTTTTTTTGAGACGGAGTCTCGGTCTACTGCCCAGGCTGGAGTGCAGTGGCTGGATCTCAGCTCACTGCAAGCTCTGCCTCCCGGGTTTATGCCATTCTCTTGCCTCAGTCTCCCGAGTAGCTGGGACTACAGGCGCCCGCCACCTCGCCCGGCTAGTTTTTTGTATTTTTTAGTAGAGACGGTGGTTTCACCGTGTTAGCCAGGATGGTCTCGATCTCCTGACCTCGTGATCCGACCGTCTCGGTCTCCCAAAATGCTGGGATTACAGGCTTGAGCCACCACGCCCGGCTCACCTTTTGATTATTTTAGGTTTTTCACTGATCTTTTTTTCTGCCTATATAAATAATATAAGCTAATTGTATAAGATTCATTTAATATGGAAAAGCCTAAGGAAGAAAGTAAAACTCCCATCACTGTGAAAGCCATTTAAATGTTTTAGTCACCATCTTTTCATATTTTACCTACATATGTAAAAACAATTTTAGGTAAATAGGATTATCTTATACACCCTGTTTGTAATTCTGAATATGATGAAGTTTTATCATCTTCATTTTGTAGACTAGGAATTAGAGGCTTAAAACTTTTTTTTTTTTGAGATAGAGTCTCGCTCCATCACCCAGGCTGGAGTGCAGTGTCACAATCTCAGCTCACTGCAACCTCTGCCTCCTGGGTTCAAGTGATTCTCCTGCCTCAGCCTCCCAGGTAACTGGGATCACAGGCACCCGCCACCGCGTCCAGCTAATTTCTGTATTTTTAGTAGAGATGGAGCTTTGCCATGTTGGCCAGACTGTTCTCAAACTTCTGACATCAAGTTACCCACCCACCTGGGCCTCCCAAAGTGCTGGGATTACAGGCGTGAGCCACCACATCTGGCCTAAGCTTTACATAATACAACTAAAATCTAGAAGTAAAATGTTTAGATTGGGTGCAGTAGTTCATGCCTGTAATTCCAGCATTTAGGGAGGCAGAGGTGGGAGGATCCCTTGAGGCCAGAAGTTAGAGACCACCCTGGGCAATATAAGAAGACCTGGTCTCTAAAAAAAAAAAAAATGTTAGCTGGGCTTGGTGGCCACAGCCCTAGGCTGAGGTGAGAAGATGGCTTGAACACAGGAGTTTGAGGCTGCGGTGAACCATGACCGAGCCACTACGCTCCACTCTGGGTGACAGAGCGAGATCCTGTCAGAAAAAAAAAATAGAAGAAAGAAAAGAAAATGCTTAAATATTTATTTTTTTATTTTGAGACAGAGTCTCCCTCTGTTGCCCAGGCAGGAGTGCAGTGGTGCAATCTTGGTTCACCGCAACCTCTGCCTCCTGGATTCAAGCAATTCTCCTGCCCCAGCCTCCTGAGTAGCTGAGATTACAGGCTCCCGCCACGACGCCTGGCTAATTTTTATATTTTGAGTAGAGAGGGGGGTTTCGCCGTGTTGGCCAGGCTGGTCTTGAACTCCTGACCTCAGGTGATCCTCCCCCCTCGGCCTCCCAAAGTGCTGGGATTACAAGAGTGAGCCACTCAACCTGGCCTATTTATTTATTTATTTATTTATTTTAAAGCAAGGGCTGGATAGGATTTTATCCGGGCTCCACATAAAGGACTCCTAGGGAGATACCCTGGTTAACAGAGGCAGTTAGGAGGCTATTAAAAATAGTTCAATCTAGAAATAATCAAGGCCAGAATTACCTCCAGCAGCGGGCCGGAGGGCTGGGGATGATCTGGGTATTTTGTTCTCTTCCCAGCAAGTAATTTCACAGCTCAGAGATCCATTTTTTAAACAAATGATGTTTTTCTTCCAAGACTGATAGGGATCAGAGAGACCTAGGGTTGCCACTAGCACCTAATCTTTCAGGCTGTTTTTTTTGTTTTTAAAGTAGATTAAAACCTTTCAGCCTTACCTAAATCTTTGTTGCAATTATACAGATCTGCCTAGATTTATAGCAGATGGCAGAGTAGAAACAGTTCCGGAGGAATTAATTAACACGTATTAAAACAAATTTTCGAGCATTGACAAATCCCTTCGGGGTTGTCCTGCGAGTGGGCAGTTCGGAACCAGCTTGGGGCGTGCTAAGATTGTAAACGTTCCTAGGGAGAGCTATAACAAAGGGGCAGCAGGGACTCTGTGCACAGAATTCCAACAGTCACCAGTATTCCATGTGTTCCAGAACTGGCACAGCGCGCGCGGTCCGCTTTTTTAAACAGTGCGGAATCACGTGGCCGACGGCCCGCAGCGCTACTGGCCCTCGGATTCTACCACTCGGCTTTGGCGCGGAACCTTTCCCCCTCGTGGACGCGACCATTGGCCCCGCGCTCGGAGGGGGTACGGACCAACTTACGGTCATGGCTTCTCCGAGTGAAGCTTTTGACTAAGGCTCAGGAAAGCGTTAGCTACAGAATTCTATATTCAAATGAAATCCATCAAACAACGCTGTGGAAGACTGGTTTTGCCTAAAAGAAAGAGCAGACCTGAACTTGACTCCTCCTACGCCCTGTGAGGGCTGCAAGGTGGTTCCTTCCGAGGCGCGGACTCCGCCTTCACGAGCGCCGCCATTTTGTTTGGCTGGAGGGGAGCGAGCGGCGCTTTGGGGGAGGGGTCGCGTAGGCGCCTCACCTGACCCTGCAGCCGGGCGGTCGCTGCTCCGGGGCAAGTCTCCTTCCAGGCCAGGGGCCCGGAATCATGTACATAAAGCAGGTAAGGCCTTCGCGTCCTTCCACCCCGTCATGGGCCGGTAGGGACTGCTCCTTGAGGCGGGAGTGTTGCGGCGCCACCCCGCAGCCTTTCCCTCTCTCCACAGGCTGAACCAGGGCTGGGCGGGGACTGTGGGGGAGGAGGGGGCCCCAGGCCCCGCGAGTGCCCCGGCTGCGGGGTCGCGGAGAATTGGGGTGCTCCTCTGCAGCCCGGGCCTCCCCGCTGGCGCGGGTCTGGGAGAGGCAGGATCTTCGAGAGGTGTGGAAGGGCGGGCCGCTGGGTGGGACTGGGCCTTCCCGGGCGGCCCGAGAGCTGGTGGGGGCACCGCGTCGGAGCGGCCGCTGGGGTAAGGGCTGTGTGGTCCTGCACGGGTGGCCTCGCACGGGTCATGTGCGTGGGATGTGTGGAAACGTGGCCTCCCCGGCTCGGGGGCGGCCTTGGGGGCACAGGCTGGGGGTGTCAGGTGTCACTGCGGGGGGCCGTTCCTCTCCCGGATTAACCCGCGAAGTGAGCGGGACCCTCCTGCTTGCAGGATGCGGAGCGCCGCCTCCCGCGGTTGTTTACTTCTGTCAAAATGGTCTTCCCGCGCGGGAGTCCACCACAAAGATGAGCCCAGGCACACGGTCTTGGAGACGGTTTTCTGTTGGATCTGTCGGGCTCTGAGCACTCCTTTGGAACGTGGGCTCTTTCTGGCTGGCCGGTGTGAGTGACTGAAAGCAGCACTCGGTGGTCTTGGAGTCAGGAGAGCTGGGGCCGGTCGGCCTGCTGGATAGACTTGCTATTGTACTGCAGTGTCTAGTGTTCCAGTTAGGCTCACACAGTGTTCTTGATTTTGAAAGATCCTTAACAGGTTGACAACTATAACGCCTAAAAAAAATAAAACCCAGCAGCATTGGACTGGCAAAGATTACCGATGAGTGGACTTTTTTTTTTTTTTTTTAAAGCAGATTTTTAATCACCACTTTCCAAAATGAATTTTTCTTATATGAAATTGCAGGTTTTGTATATTGCATTAAATGAGAAACAAGAAAGAAATTCAAGAGAAAAATGTTAATGTATTGTTTTTTGGGGGGTGAGTTCTCAAAAGTGATTTTTATTTACTAGGTGATTATCCAGGGTTTTCGAAGTTACAGAGATCAAACAATTGTAGATCCCTTCAGTTCAAAACATAATGTGATTGGTAAGTGTTCTTGGTTTACTCGGTCATATTTATAGTCTATACAGATAACGTAAATTCTGTCGATTTGTATATTGGCTTAAAGGAGACAGGAATTGTCTTTGAATGTCAAGTAATGTATATTTTTCTGCTTGAAATAACTTTTCTGTCTTATTGCACTGATGAATTGCTTATTTTTATGAACTTAAAATGTTTGGATAAGACACTCCTAAGTTACCCATTTTTTATCTGGGTAGCCTTGTATGTATGTGTAAGAGTGCTTTAAAGCATTTGCACCCTTCTGTTCTTGTTATATATCTTAAAATGCTGACTGTTGCCTTATTTCAGAGACAAGACAGTTTTTATTCACAAAGTAGATCCCAGAATTCCTGCCCTCCCCCCCCCCCCATTTCAGTGTCTCTAAGGACAGACCATGTAGCTAGATTGGAAGAGCATAAATTTTAGAGCATAACAGAATGGGGTTCCAATCCCAGTTATAGGAGGGTGGGGGGCTGGGGGAGGGATAGCATTAGGAGAAATACCTAATGTAAATGTCGAGTTGATGGGTGCAGCACACCAACATGGCACATGTGTACACCTATGTAACAAACCTGCATGTTGTGCATATGTACCCCTAGTATAATTAAAAAAAAAAAATCCCAGTCACGCGTTCTTTTTGAGACTTTGAGAAGCTTCAGTTTTCTCATTTGTAAACCTGTCTCATAGGGCTGTTGGGAAGATTAAATGAGAACCCTTATGTAAGTGTGAGGATAAAGGGCTAATGGTGATTGCCATTAACAATATGTAGTCATTATAGATGGCTCAGGTTGTAGTGTGCATTTTGCTGATACAGCTAACAAAGATGTTTTCTGACATTCTGCTGAGTATTTTACAGAATAGATGAAAGGAGTGCTTCTGGACACCAGAAAAACAGACTGCTATTGACGCAGTTTTGCTGTACAGAGTCCAGACTAAGGGGTATATTCGTTTGCTAAGGCAGCCATAACAAAATACCATAGACTGGTGGCTTAAACAAGATATTTTTTTTTCTCACAGTCTGGAGGTCAGACATCCATCATCAGGATACCTGCATGGTTAGGTTCTGGTGAGGTGCTCTTCCTGGCTTACAGACAGCTGCTGTCTTGCTGTGTGCTCACATGGCCCCATCCTCATGTCCTCATTTAACCATAATCATCTTCCAGGGGCCCCCATGTCCAAATACTGTCACATTCGGGTTTAAGGTGTCAGTTGTTTCAGGGGAGCACAATTTAGTCTGTGACACGCAGGTGAGATTCATATTACTGTTTCCAGAAGACCCTCAGAGAATCATACTTTATTTTGTATAAAATTATAAAATTGAAGGCAGGTTTTTTTGCCCTCGATTTATCAATAGCAGCCTTGTAGTTGGGAATAAAGAAGACATACTTTTTTTCCCGCTTGTGCTCTATCTACTGAAGTCATTTAATTGAATTGACATACCATAGGGTGGCTTAATTGTACTGGAGTTTTGCTTACATACAAGTACTTTCTGATTTTTTTCATCAATCGGAAAATCTTTAGAAATGTAGAAAAATAAGAATTACTAGATTTATATTTTCTTTAACTTGCACCTTAAAATAAGTATCTTAATATTTCATTTGTGTGATTTTATAAATCATCTGTAAAATAACTTATTAGCTAGAATGATTACATTTTATCTATAAGGTCCATCAAATACCATTGTTTTAGCTATTATCAGTTAGCTGTTTTACTACTGTGATTGCAGCATTAGATTTGTTAACAGTCACTGTTACAAAGGAAAATGGTTTTTAAAACAAATGAACCCAAGATAACTCCTGATTAAACATGTTTTAAAACCAGGCACATTAGTAATGTAAGAAAGACCAAAAGTAGTTATGTACTGAGATTTGCCTTAAAAATATCTGGTGAAAGCGTACCACTTTGATTGATGAATGATGTTGACTATTAAAAAATATCTCTTGTACTGATGTTGGGTATATGCATCAAACATGTATCTTTTTAGGGATTTTTTCCCTCTAACCTTTTAACAAAAGAAATACATGTTAGTTATAGAACATTATGGAAAAGCTAAAAGGAAGAAAATTAAGATAAACTATAATTCTTTTACCCAGAGGTAACCATTCTTTGTTTTTTACTGCACACCATGATTCTTCAGAGATAACCATTCTTAATAATAACAGTCTATACTTGTGGTTAGTCCTGGTTTCCTAGAAAACAGCACAGACAGGCTTAGCTGCTAAGGCTTTAATGGGAGGTGCAGTTTGAGGGCAAGAATGAAGAGAAAAGCTGGTCACAGATTTCTAAAGAAGACACAGGTGGTTTGCAGTCATGTTGAATAACTTACAGACTTTGTGGACCCACCATGCCTTAGAAAGGTCAGATGATAGAGGAATGGATTTGGATTCGGACAAGGATTTGTTTGCTAGCACCTGTCTTTCATTGGTCCAAGTTTTCTACATCCGGCATTAATGCCTCCAAACTTTTGGATTGTGGTTCCCTGGGAACTAACACCCGGAAGTAGTCAGGGAGTTATAGCCTCCTTTCCATCTTCACAATTCAGGAGTACCTGAATGTACTCCCAAGGTAGCTTGAATCTACCAGAGGTGTTAGTAGACTGAGCCTCTCCATTGATTGGCAGCCAAGGCCTGGGTTGAGAAAGATGAATCTGGGGCCATATATAAACTGTATTTGCCTCAATTTGTTTTTAGTCTTTGTATACATCTGTAATTAAGCCTTTTTAAATAAAAATGGGTTCATCATATAATTTATTGATAATTGTTATTCTCCTTCAGGATAAATCTTGAAATATCTTTCTTTATTAAATATTCAGCATCCTTTAAAATTGCTATGTAGTGTTCCACTCTATAGGTAAGAGTAATTCTTACAAAGAAATTCTTAAAATTTCAGTTATTTATAGATGGATTATGGTTTGAAATATTTATTCATTTAATGATAAATTGTCATCTTAAACTTTTATTTAGAAATAGTTTCAAATTTACAGAAAAATTGCCCCAGTAAGAACTGTACAGAGACTACTCATAAACTCTTTACCTAGATTCACCTATTGTTAACATTTTCCCCACTTGCTATATCATTTCCACTCTCTACACGCTTTTTTCCTTAGAGTAAGTTATTTATGCCACAGTCCTTTATCTCTGACTTTAATGTGTACTTTCTAAGAGGAGGGATAGTCTCTTTCATAAAGTACAATTTACAACTTAAGTAAATTTAATACGTAGTAAAAATCTGTCCATTTTACAGTTATGTTGACTGACCCAGAAATGTTCTTGATAGCATTTTCCCCCCTCCAGTGCAGGATCTAATTTAGGAGCAGGCGTTGCATAGTTGTCATGCTTCTTTAGTCTCCTTTAATCTGGATCATTTCCACAGCTTTTGTCTTTTATAACGTTGTTTTTGAGAATTAAGACATAAGTGATGTTGTATCCCTTTCAGGATATCACATCTGGAGGCACATGAGGTCTGACTCTTACTGATATTACTTTTGATCACCCAGTCAAGGTCTAATGTTTCCAGTGTGTAGGTATTATTTTTTCCCTTGCAACTAATAAGTAATATAGGCAGATGCTTTTGGACCATGTAAATCTTGTGCTCCTTTTCAAACTTTGTGCCTACATTTAGCATCTGTTGATGACCCTTACCTTTATTCTGATGGTCACAAAATGATTTTTCATTTCCAGATCTCCTTTCACATTTACAACTTGGCATTTGGTAATTCTCCTCCTTCCTTACCTACTTATTTATTTTTTTATTATTGGTATGGATGCATGGATTATTCCCCCCACCAATAATTTATCATTTATTTAGTCATTTTGGTGCTCAGATTACCCCTAGATTTAGCTACTGAAAGCCCCTTTCAAGCTGGCTCCTATGTCTGTCATATGCGTTTTTAAAAAAAGTATGTCCTTTCTGGCATGACATGATCTTTTTGGGATTTACTTTGCATTAAAGGTGGTAACTGTGTGGTTAATTTGCTCAGAATATTTCTGGCTCAAGATTGAGAAGACTGACATAGTTATTTATGAGTCTTAACACTGAAAATTTCACTAAACAAATACACTCACTTAAAATCAAAAGGATTTGATATCCTTTTAAGTATTGAATTGCTTATATTTGAATTTTGTTAGTCAAAAAGTACCTTAAAATTATTTATACTTTTGTGGTTCTGTGAGACTACACATGATAATATAGGGTTGATTATAAACATTAGAACACTGTAAGGATTTAAAATGATTGTTTTAGAATGTTAGCAATATATGAATCTTTCAATTGTTAAACATATATATAGTTAAATAGAATTATATATCCGTTGTAATATGATAAATTATAAGAGCCAAGTAGTATATTTAGCTACTCCTATTCATTGTAAACTATTGGGTAAGAGGAAAAGGATCAACTGTGAAATATCTTTAAAGAAAAAAACTATTAGAAGTCTGTACAAAATTGAATTCATTTGGTGATTATAGTTGTTTTATTGGTTTCTTTTGTTCACCGTTGTTTAATTTCAGATGTTAAGATGTATTAGAAAATGAGATTTTAAAAATTTTGAGTATTTTTAAAAAGGTAAACAGTTTTACCTTTATTGGTTTTTATGTAAAATAACTTGTACTTTTTGAAATTTTCCAGTGGGCAGAAATGGATCTGGAAAAAGTAACTTTTTTTATGGTAGGTATTGTTTTTTGAATTGTAAATATATTAAGACCTGGGTATCTTAGGGTAGTTTATTGAAATCATTAATTTTCTGAGGTTATGTATGCATGAAACCCAAGAAATACTTTATATGGGATTGCAGCTTAGTGTAGAGGGTTTAGAGTGTACAGATCTGAATTCTGCTTTATACCCAGTGGCTGATTAGCTATATGAGACTGGGCAAAGCACGTAGCCTCTCAAATTGTTCTTTTCACTTTAAAAATGGAGATGTTTGGATGTTTGCCCTGTCTACCTTAGATGGTTTGTAAGAATGGAATGCAATAGTATGTATGAAAATGCTTTTTAAACTTGAATGTAATATATAAGTGTTATAAATGCATATTTTAAATGTATGTAAATGCAGTAGAATAGTTCATAGTATTGTTTTGGAAAATGGTTCATCTTTCTTATTTCACCTTTTTAAAAACGTTTTCTAAACCAGTCATCTTTGTAAAGGATGAAGAGAGATAAAAAACTTGAAACTGAACAGACTGTTGTCAGTTTGAAGATAGTAAATAGAGCTTTGAAAATTCTCTCTGAAGATAAATTGCATTTAAGTATAAATAGCAATGCTTCTGTTAACAAATCCTTTGAGGAGAAAAACATTTTAACAAAATTAGACTGTTAAGGAGTAGGTTGAAAAATATGAACTTTTTAGTTGGGGTAATGCTTGAGGGAAAGGAGCATTTAGTGGGCTAGCTTAATAAGAGTAAAGGTTCTGTCCCTTCTGTGCACACGAATCTGAAAGGCACTCTCTAGCCTGTATATCCTGTTGTGGTTGTAATTTGGTAATGATGAGAGAGTGGACTGAAGTGGAAGTATTTCAGAATCTCCAGGGTTGAGGGCAGTGTGAAGTCTCCTCACCCTGACCTGTGTCCACAGCACACACATTAATGCTTATGCACGTACTTGCTGATGCGAGCAACCCCCTCCCCCCCGCCCTGCACATACACACAATGCTGAGGTCTCTTGGGTGGACTGGGACAAGAACAGCTGAGTAAAGAGTTCCACTTCCTAGGCAGGGTGGTCCAGTTAGGTACTCTATATGGAAGTAGGAATGGCCCCTTCTTACAGAGCTCAGTGTAATATAAGAAGTGTAGTAGAAGTTGGGCATCTCAAACATTTCCTTGTATTTCTTTAGTTTTAATTTCTTTTGGTAAAGTATCCACTTAAGCATATTCTCATACATCCTATTTTGTTAAAAAAGGTTTTAACTCATATCATTTATGTCTAGTGGGGAATAAAGCAAATACAGTGTTAACGTAATCTAGTCAGTGTACACTTTGAGCCGGAAGTATACCTTAGTTTTGCTTGTCTGTTTTCATGTATCTCGGTGCTTTCTCTTTATTTTCTTACTTTAAATGTTTCAATGAAAACTCAGTATTTTTCTTATATCACTTCCTACCTGATTAGTCTTATGTGCAGGCACGTTTTCTGCATTTCCTTTTGTCTATATGAAACAGATAATTTATTTGCATTGTCTGTTACCAGACACACTATGTTCTATTGAGGTGTGGGAAGTTATAAATAAGTTATAAACACTTTTTTAGGGTATACTAATAGTTGTTTTTGTATTTCCAGCAATTCAGTTTGTTCTCAGTGATGAGTTTAGTCATCTTCGTCCAGAACAGCGGTTGGCTTTATTGCATGTGAGTGAGACTGCTTTAAGACATTATTGATATTAAATGTATTTTTAAAATAAATTTTCCATGCTGGTTAAAAAAGCATTTGTTCAAATTTCAGATTCTTTGTGAACCAGACACAGTCTATCTCATAAGTGTGTTACTCTGCTGTGAAATTTATCTTAACATGTTAATGCCAGATAAAAGCCCATTTTTTTTTTTTTTTTTTTTTTTTTTTTGAGACGGAGTCTCGCTCTGTCGCCCAGGCTGGAGTGCAGTGGCCGAATCTCAGCTCACTGCAAGCTCCACCTCCCGGGTTTACGCCATTCTCCTGCCTCAGCCTCCCGAGTAGCTGGGACTACAGGTGCCCGCCACCTCGCCCGGCTAGTTTTTTTGTGTTTTTTAGTAGAGATGGGGTTTCACCGTATTAGCCAGGATAGTCTCGATCTCCTGACCTCGTGATCCGCTCGTCTCGGCCTCCCAAAGTGCTGGGATTATAGGCTTGAGCCACCGTGCCCAGCCAAAAGCCCAATTTTTATGCAGTGGTTAGGAGAAAATTACAGGATTTGCCTATAGATATGTCCTCCATATAAATTTCTTAAAGGAGACGTGATATATCTCATAAGTGTTTTATTCTGCTATGAAATTTAGCCTAACATGTTAATGCCAGATAAAGGCCTAGTTTTTATACGATGTTTAGGAGAAAAGTATAGAATTTACCTATAGGTGGGTATGTCTTCCATATAAATTTCTTTAAGGATGTGATCTGCAAAGGCTTAAAAGCAGGTTTGCTGAGGAGAAAGAAGAGGAGTTTGAGATTGGAGATTAGGAACTTTAAGATGCAGAACCAAAAATTGGGAGCATAGAGAAACAACCATTGCAAACTAAACAACATACAAGTTGTTTGTTGTTTTAGCCATATTTGTACTTAGATAGTAAACATCATTTTCCAGTATGAAAAACAGTAGAGATGTTCTGCAACTTACAGTGGGGTTATGTCCTGATAAACCCATCATAAACTGAAAATACCGTAAGTCAAAAATGGACATTAACTTACGGTTGAGCAAAATGATCTAACACAAAGTCTGTTTTATAATAAAGTGTTGAATCTCTCATATAATTTATTGAATACTGTGCTGAAAGTAAAAAAAAAAAAAAAAGTGATTTTATGGGTACTCAAATTATGGTTTCTACTGATGGTAAATTGCTTTCACACCGTTGTTAAGTTGAACCATCTTAAGTTGGGGACCACCTGTTTGTTTACAGTAATGTGAGTTAGAATATTTTATTAAATGGGTCCTTTTGTAATTCATAAGCACGATGATTGGGTTTTCGTGTTCATGTGAGTCATGCCTCCCTCAAACCTTGTTAGGATGTTGGCACATTACCAATGTTATGTGGAAAAAAATATGAGTAATGGACTAAAGTAATTTTAGGATAGAAAATCGTGAAAGACTACAAAAAATGATGTAATTAATCCTTCTGGTTTGAATATTATTAAAGACCAGAAAATGAAATTCCTCAATATATCTTAACAGTGTTTCTCATACATAGGAAGTTGTTTCGTTTATCTCTTGTCTGTCTTTTCCCCTTGTTTAGTTTGCATTTGTAGCCCAGTAATCAGAATTGATTTCCCATAGAAAACTTTTTAGGTTTTTCAGATTGTCATTAAAATAATAACCTCTTTGGTACAGTTCTTCGTTGTATTTACTACATAGTAACAGTTTCTATAATCTGGAAGGTATCTGGACTTGGTACCATAGTTTTTGTGTCACAGATTGGTTTAAATGTGACACATGTTAAATGTGTGTATTTCTATAATAGATTTAAAACTGTAGAATGTCTCAAATTTTTTTAAAAAACAGACTTTTGGTAATTATCCCATGATTTATTAGGGTTTCTTTGCAGCATTAAAATGAGACTGTAAGAGAAGTCTTATGGTGTGTTAGGTATTAGCAAATAGGTAGAATTAAATGGCCCCGGTCTTCCAGTCTAATAAAGTGGTCTGTAGAATCAAATTTAAGGATATCTAACTTTGACATGCTTGCATAGTTCTTATTTTTTATTTAGAATCAGAAACTATTTGGTTGAGAATTTTTGTTATCCTAATCTAACATCTCTGCTGTTGGCATGAGGAATATATACTATCTCTCTGGGGATATCCCCAAAGTTTGTATCCCTCTTGCCAAAACAGCAGAGACATTAGTGTGTGTGTGTATATATGAGTCTAGTAGAAATTTTTCTCCATTGAATCAGACTTGTTATTATGCCCTAGACTTTAAGAATCCTTTTAAAGGATATGAATATACTATTAAGTGAAAAATTTCTCACTTTTTTCATTTTTAGGAAGGTACTGGTCCTCGTGTTATTTCTGCTTTTGTGGAGATTATTTTTGATAATTCAGACAACCGGTTACCAGTAAGTAACCTTTTTTTTTTTTTAAATAATGCTGAGAATTTAATTGGAGTAGCTAATCTTCATACTTTGAAACTTTTTGAGCTTTTATAATTTGTTATAATTACAGTTTATGTAGATTTTATCTTAAAATTACAGTGAATACTCTGTTAACAAATGGGAATGTACAAGTTGTTGTGAAAAGGGTCTTGGTTAAGAGTATTGAGTATTCGTAGTATTATCTTTAGTGAGATAATTGAAATTTTAAAATAAATAGTGACGGTCAAGGACTTTAAAATGACCTTATTTAAAAAGTTTTCTCCTTCACTATTAAACTTTGGGCTTTTACATTTTTTGTTAGATCGATAAAGAGGAAGTTTCACTTCGAAGAGTTATTGGTGCCAAAAAGGATCAGTATTTCTTAGACAAGAAGATGGTCACGTAAGCATTTTTCTTTTTTTTTTTTAAAGAAATGAATGTGTACTTAGAGATGGGGTGTTGCTATGTTGGCCAGGTTAGTATTGAACTCTTGGCCTCAAGTGATCCACCTTGGCCTCCTAAAGTGCTGGGATTACAGACATGAGCCATCATGCCCAGCCAGCATTTTTCTTTCTTTTTCCTAATATGGAGTCTCACTCTTTTGCCCAGGCTGGAGTGCAGTAGTGCAATCTCAGCTCACAGCAACCTCCCCCTCCCCGGTTCAAGCTATTCTCCTGCCTCAGCCTCCTGAGTAGCTAGGATTGCAGGCACGCGCCACCACACCTGGCTAATTTTTGTATTCTTAGTAAAGATGGGGTTTCACCATGTTGGCAGGCTGGTCTTGAACTCTTGACCTTGTGATCTGCCTGCCGTGGCCTCCCAAAGTGCTGGGATTATAGGCATGAGCCACTGCCCAGTCACATTTTTCTTTATTATTTCCTTACAAAAAAGTGTTATTTTACCTGCTTCATATATGAGGAATATTTGCTTCATCTTCGACAAATCAATATAGAGGATAAACATAAGAATCAGAAAGTTCTGAGGATGATACAGATGGTTTATAATTACTGATCTGCCCTTCCTAATGCTGTCAACCCAGGGGCTAGTCTACTCATTGCTTAATGGTGCTTTAAAATTACCTGAATGTAATTTCATTGTTTGTCAACAGGAAAAATGATGTGATGAACCTCCTTGAAAGCGCTGGTTTTTCTCGAAGCAATCCTTATTATATTGTTAAACAAGGAAAGGTAAAACAATTGTATGTCCTTTTTTAATAGAATTTGTTTTCTGAGTAATTCTTGAGTGATGAATTTGGTTGATTCGAGTGGTTAAGCTGAAGCAAAAATGGCCATATCTTTTATATGGCCATAAAGTACCAAATAGGTCTGTCCATTGCATGTTGAGATGGAAGTATTTCAGCATATTAAGTGGATCTTGTTTTCCTAGCGACTGGTATTACTTACTGAGGTGAAAGTATGGGAAGACATTATTGGCTTATGAAAGTTGCAATAATTAAGAATATTGTAGAAATTCTATAAAAATCACATTTGAAAAACTTCCTAAAATTAATATTTTGTGTTACCCAGTTATTTATCACAATTAAAATACTGAAAAGCTAACATTACCAGAAATCTGCTGTTTTGCTACATGTTATTTTCCCTAATAGGGATTGTGTTTTTTAACATTTTTCCAGCAGCCAAACTACATACTTTTTTAGCTGATTGTTCTGCTCTCTTCTCATATACTTTCACTTTTTTTGGACTAGGGAAAATTCTCAGAATATTCACTTATTTTATACTGTAGGTTGTTTTTTTTTTTTTTTGTTATGTATTGGAAAGTTAGCATTTCAGAAGAAGTGATTAGGAAGAGAATATGGAGTTTCAGTTTTAGAAAATGTGGTACTGGAAGAACAAGTTTTTTTTTCCGATTTTACTATTTGTGGGAGAGGCATTTTTTTAAATGGAGGCTGATTTGAAGAGCGCACTCTGAGATCCCTCTGCTCTCAATGTAGGCCCTTTTACTTCATTTCAGTTTCTGCCCCTGTGCCATCCTTGATTGCCTCATCTAAAAGCATTGCCTTCCCTCCAACCCTATATTGCTTTATTTCCTTAATCTGTTTTATTTTTCTTTGCTTAACACTTATACTGTTAATACTTATTTTCTGTCTTTTCCACTTAGAATGTAAGCTCCATGAGGGCGGGACCTTTTCTGCTTTGTTTGCTCTTTTCCAGTGCCCAGCAGTACTTCACATATGTTGTAGTCATTTGATAAATAATTTTTAAGTGAGTAAATTGCTTGAACAAATATGTATAATTGGAGCGTGCAATAATGAGGATCTGAAGGATGATTCTTTGATGTAGATACTTTTGATAGACCATATTTTCTTAGAGATAATTTCCAATTTTTAATGCAGTGAGTATCATTTTTGATGTTTAGGGATACTTGTTATATATTAAGTTGCATGGCACTTAAGTTGTACCATTCTCTCTATATTTAAAGCATACCATTTGTCATGTTATTTAGCCTTCTGTATCTGTGGGTTCTACATCTGCAAATTCAACCAACCATGGATCAAAAATATTTAAAATAAATAAAATTTTAAAACAGTTCAAGAAATAATACAAATTTAAAACTACAGTATAACTGTTTACATAGCATTTATGTTGTTACAATTAGTCTAGAGATTAAAATTAATACGGAAGGATGTGCATAGGTTTTTGAAATACTGTGCCATTTACATAAGGGACTTGAGCATTCTTGGATTTGGTATCTGCAGGGGGCCCTAGAACCAATTCCCCATGGAAAGTAAGAGGAGAATTGTACTTTTAATATATTATTATAGCTTTAAAAAAAAAAAGTGTAGTCCGGTGATGGTTTCCTTATAAAAATACTTTGGTTTTTGAGAATGGAGCTCATCTTTTGTACCTTATCATATTGACTAAGGAAAAGATGGTGGTGTGAGATAACTCCTTCACTTGTTAGCCATATTTCATAAGGAGATTATGAGCACGTAACAGTTGTATTTGGATTTTGTTTGGTAGAATTTAAGTAAAGGGAGACATAGATATGTAGGCATATGTGCTATACAAATGACATTAGGCAAATCATAATCTATTTAAAACTTGGCATGTCACAAATTCAAAAGTCTGAAATACAAAATGCTCCACAGTCTGAAACCTTTTCAGTGTGGATGTATTCAAAGGGAAATGCTTGTTTGAACATTTTGGATTTCAAATTTTTGGATTTGGGTTGCTCAGCTGGTAAGTATAAATGCAAATATTCCAAAACCTGAAAAAATTTAAAATCTGTAACACTTGTGGTTTCCTAGCAGCTTTTGCATAAGAGATACCCAACCTTCATGTGTATTAAAAACCTTTCAACGTGGAGTTCTTGTTCTTAAAGCGGGCTATGGCTATATAATGATTATTTTTCTAAAAATTTTTAAGATCCAACCAGATGGCAACAGCACCAGATTCTCCAGAGATTAAAGCTATTAAGAGAAGTAGCTGGTACTAGAGTATATGATGAGCAGAAAGGAAGAAAGCATCTCATATTAGAAAGAAACAGGTAAAATAAATGTGTTTCTGCCTTATTTTTTTTTGTTACAAATTACTGTTTTTAGCGGCAGAGTAGCTCTATAATAGGAATATAGTAGGTGTTTGGTATGCAGCGACAGTAGATAATGCTGTTATTAATAAAAATTGAGAATCTATAACACCAATGATGTTAGTAAACTTAAAAATATTGTGGAAAGGCACACTGAGTTTTTTTTTTTTTTTTTTTTTTTTTGAGATGGAGCCTTGCTCTGTCACCCAGCCTGGAGTGCAGTGGTGTGATCTCCGCTTACTGCAACCTGTCTCCAGGATTCAAGTGATTCTTCTGCCTTAGCCTCCCAAGTAGCTGGGATTACAGGTGCCCACCACCACACCCAGTTAATTTTTGTATTTTTAGTAGAGACAGGGGTTTCACCGTGTTGTCAGGCTGATCTCAGACTCTGACTTCTGGTGATTGCCTGCCTTGGCCTCTCAAAAGTGCTGGGATTACTCGTATGAGCCTCCACGCCCAGCCAGCACACTGACTTTTTAAAAGGAAGCTTAAACTGAGGCCCTTACTACATGTTATAAAAGCCAGTGTCACCGTAGCATAAATTTGTTCTCTGTTGCCTTTCATAATAAAGGATGTAACCCATTTTATGCCTAGCATTCCGTTATTGGAATCCTAAGCTTGTGGGTATTACCTATATCTACTGCCGAGGTCATACATCAAGGTCTGATTTTCACAGAAAAAAATTTACAACCTCCAGCGTAAATGGGTTAATTGCTATTTTAGTATTTTAAATTTGGTTACCACATTACATCAGAGAAATAATCTATACAGTTCTTGAAATTTAATTCAAGGTATGTTGAAGAAGTGATACTACATAAAAATTTTATTCAATTCTTCCATCTCTCTCTCCTTATTTAACAAGAACCCAAAGACGGAAAAAAATCAATGAGTTGTTAAAATACATTGAAGAGATTACATACTTTAGAGGAAGAAAAGGAAAAGAACTAGCTCCCAGTATCAGAAGTGGGATAAAATGGGGGCGAGCCTGGAATACACCATTTACAATCAGGAACTTAATGGGGCTAAATTACTAAACTTGATGAGGTAAATATTTACCTTTGACACTTAAAATCAGATTAATTTGTTTTTGTGAATTTGTTAAGCTCAGGCCGTAATTACACTTTTCTGATTTTAAATAGAAACTTAACCTCTCAATGAATTTATTAGTCAGCAGGTTTTTTCTTTTAAAGAAAATAGCCACGTGGTTGTTGCTACATAGTATTATCTGAAATATAATCAGATGGTGTTATTAGGCAGATGAGAGGAAAATCATTTTGAAGGTTTCTTGTAGTTTTTAGAATGTATTTGTAATTAGTATTGCTGACATTTTGTACAAATTTAGGTAGTACTTCGTTTTCCTAGTTAAAAACACTTTTAAAATTTTTGTAAAATTTGAAATTACTTCACCAGTTTATTTTCATATAAATTTTATTAGATGTTATGAAATATTTAGTAAATACAAAATGAGTTAGATACAACTTTTTTCTTCTTGGCTTTCTGCTAGCGAGAGACTAGTGGAGAAAAATCCGAACCCAATTATAAGAGATGCTCAACAGGATGCAAGAGATAAAATGGAGGTAAGATTCTAAACAAGGTTCATGTAAACTTACTTTTTTCTTTTGAGACAGGAATCTTGTTCTGTCATCCAGGCTGGAGTGCATGGTACCAATCATAAACCATTGTAGCCTTGACTTACCAGACTCAAGTGATCCTCTTGCCTCAACTTCTCAAATGGCTAGGCACAGGTGTGTACCACCATACCTGTCTAGTTTTTAAATGTATTGTAGAGACAAGGTCTTGCCATGTTACCCAGGCTGATCCCACTGAACTCCTGGGCTCAAGTAGTCCTTCTGCACTCCAGCCTCCTGAAGTTTTTGTTTTGTGTTTTTTAAGAACTGAGTCTCACTCTATTGCACAGGCGGGAGTGCAGTGGTGAGATCACAGCTCACTGCAGCCTTGATCGCTCAAGCTCAAGTGATCCTCCCACCTCAGCCTCTTAATTTTTTTATTTTTTGAAGAGATGGAATCTCACTATGTTGCCCAGACTGGTTTTGAACTCCTGGGCTCACGGATTCCTCCCATCTGGACCTCCCAAGTGCTGAGATTAGGCACCCGAGCAGCCATGTCCAGCCATCACATATAGTTTTGACCATAGTAAACCCTTTTGTACCAGAATTATGGAATGATTACCACAAGGGAGTTAGAGAATTGAATATTGAAGAGTAGTACTAAATGTAAAGTGAAAGAGAATTAATGGTGTCACAATTCTGCTGTTGTACTTCTAATTGCTTGACTTATTTTCTGTTTAATACTTTTGAATAGGATATTGAACGCCAAGTTAGAGGTGAAAACAAGAATTTCAGCTATGAAAGGAGAAAGAACAGCTTAGTGCTGAAGGCCAAGAACAAATTAAGCAGAGGACTAAGTTGGGCTTAAAGCCCGAAGGATTTACAAGATGAACTAGCAGGCAACAGTGAACAAAGGGTAAGTTAAAATGCTAAAAATGAAAGACATGAATGTTCAGGTGAGTAAGACTTTGCAGAAGACAGTCCTTTCTGTGACTGGTATGTCCTGGAGATTTTTAAGCTTTGCTATGTTAACATAATTTGTACTCAAGTAACGCTTAGTACTGTCCTTTGTTACATTTAAAAAGTTTCATGTACAGGTGGGTTTTCTCATGAAGTTTTTTCATGAGAAAGCGTGCTAGACCTAAATTGTAAAAATTTTAAAGCAGTTTGCATTTTTACTTATCTTTATTTACAGAAACGTTTATTAAAAGAGAGGCAGAAGCTGCTTGAAAAAATAGAAGAAAAACAGAAAGAACTGGCAGAAACAGAACCTAAATTCAACAGTGTAAAGAAAAACGAAAGGAATTGCTGGAAGTCTGAGAGCTTTCACCAACACTTTAACTTTCTGCATCCATATTATATAAAAAAACTAGATAGTCCAAGAGGAGCTCTCCAATTATATAGTAGCTGCTTTTTTACACTTAATTCTTTTTGTATCGTTTCGAAAAATGGCTTTATGTTTCTGTGTACAGTTGACATTATTGGTTACAATTAAACTTTGTTATTATTCTCCTTTCATCCCATTCTCTTCTATTTTGTATGGAGTCAGGCTCAAGCTACCCAGGAAGAAGCAGGATCTTTATCTCGCAGAGGCGAGGGAAGCCAGTTTATCAAAGAAGAAAGGATAAGTGGATTAAAAGGAACTCAAGTCTTTAAAATCAGGCTATTAATGACAAGAAAAAAAGACAGATTGCTGCTATACATAAGAGATTTGGAAGACACTGAAGCAAATAAAGAAAAATCTGGAGCAGTATAATGTAAGAACATTTATAGCCACTTTGTAAAAATCTTTTGAAAGAGATAAACATGTTTAGTTTTATCTACTTCAAGTTTTCTTTATAAATAAGTCTACATGTGACCTTAAAATATATGACAGATACTTATTTAGAAAAGGCCTGCACAATATACATACAGTTCTCTTTTTTAAGAATGTTCATGTCATTGAGCCTTTATGTAGATTAAGTATATTAAAATGTATGTATGTATGTTTAATTTTTTTTGAGATAGGAGTCTTGTTCCGTCACCCAATCTGGAGATGTGATGGTACAACCACAACTCTGCAACCTCCACCTTCCAGGCTTAGCGATCCCTCTATCCTTAGCCTCCTAACTGGGACCCACAAGCATGTATCACCATGCCCAGCAAAATTTTTTTTTTGTAGAGACGAGGTCTTGCCATGTAGCCTACGCTGGTCTCGAAATCTTGGGCTTAAGCAGTCCTCCCACCTTGGCCTCCCAAACTGCTGGGATTACAGGCGTGAGCCACCATGCCCAGCTTAAAATATGTTTTATGAATTGGTAGCATGTGTCTTACGACCCTTAATTTTTGACAAGATGTCACATATGTCTAAAACAGCTTGTTAGTAACTTTTTTTTCGAGATGGAGTTTCGCTGTTGTTGCCCAGGGCTGGAGTGCAATGGCACGATCTCGGCTCACTGTAACCTCTGCCTCCTGAGTAGCTGGGATTATAGGCATGCACCATCAAACCCACTAAGTTTGTATTTTTAGTAGAGATGGGGTTTCTATATGTTGGTCAGGCTGGTCTCAAACTCCCAACATCAGGTGATCCACCCGCCTCGGCCTCCCAAAGTGCTGAGGTTACAGGCGTGAGCCACTGCGCCTGGCTGCTGGTAACTTTTTTGGAGACAAGGCTCATTGCAACCTCCACCTCCCAGGTTCAGGCAGTTCTCTGCCTCAGCCTCCCAAGTGGCTGGGATTACAGGTGGCTGCCACCACGCCTGGCTAATTTTTTTGTATTTTTGGTAGAGCTAGGGTTCACCATCTTCGTCAGGCTGGTCTTGAACTCCTGATTGTTGATCCCTGTAGCCTCTAAAGTGCTGAGATTCAGGCGTGAGCCACCATGCCTGGTGTAACTTTTTTAAACTTGTTTTTGGTATTCCAACACTTCGTATGTTACATTTAGTTATTTATGTTTCTTTATCTGCTTTAGTAGACCAGTTCTTTAGTTTTCTTGACTTTGGGACTTGACATTTAAATTATTTGTTGTACATATATTAATATTTATGTACTCATTAATTCCTTATTATATGTAATTATTTGTCCCTAATCTCTTCTTTCCCCAGACGGAGTCTTGCTCTGTTGCCCAGGCTGGAGTGCATTGGCGTGATCTCGGCTCACTGCAACCTCCACCTCCGGGGTTCAAGCAGTTCTGCTGCTGCAACCTCCCAAGTAGCTGGGACCACAGGCACGTGCCACCACGCCTGGTCAATTTTTTGTATTTTTAGTAGAATGGGGTTTCACTGTGTTAGCCAGGGTGGTCTCGATCTCCTGACCTTGTGACCCACCCGCCTCGGACTTCCAAAGTGCTGGGATTATAGGTGTGAGCCACCATGCCCAGCCCTAATCTTTTGTATTGATTTGCCCACTTTAAGTTTTCGGTGACTCACCTTTAAATATATCCAAAACCTCAGTGAAGTTTTAAAACTGTTTTCTTTGTACTCATATTCTCCTTTACATAAAAAAAAAAAAAAATGGTAAGAACAAAGCGCAACAGCCTCTGTAAGCATAAAAACAGGTAGGTAAATTGCCAGGAGTGTAGCCTGCTGTTTTTGGAGAATCAGTCGATGCTGTGGGCTTTTAGTTGTAAATCTTTGTGGAGGGAGTGGAAAACTTGGGTTAATCTAGGTAGTTTCCTTTTTATGTAGTTGGTGTAGTCTGAACTGTAATAGTTACACCTCAACCCTACTTGGAAATAAAATATATTTTCTCTTGAGTTTATGAAACTAACCTCAGCAGATGCCCTTTTTAGGCCCCAGTGAGAGTATTCATTTTTGTCATGCTTGAAGTTCATTTATTTTCCAATATTCCAGTCACACTTTTGGTTATCAAAATGACCACTTGTGAAGATGAAGCCTTTCCTTTGGACAGAGATGATTTTATGGTGCCATGATTGTATTATGTAAATAGCCTTTTGCCTCTTGGTATAATTCTAAATTAATTTTTCCACAGTGTATTTTTAAAACCCTTTTGATATGAAAAAAATAAAATGTAGTTTTGGTGGTTTTATTATGCTTTATTATAGTTTCATTTATGTGATATATATCATACATACTTACCAAACTAAGTTTTTAGACTTTTCTAACTTATGTCAGTGGTATCTTGGCCCTAGCAACTGCTGTGTGGAGAAGGGAGCTCTTGGATAGTTTCAGTGCAAACTAAATACTAAATGTTTTTCTTTTCCAGGTATTGTTGTCATTTCAAAGTCTACAAAACGTATTTTGAATTTAATATGGGTAGCTTACTTTATTACTGGTTCTGAGTAACATCGTGGTTCCAGAGAACCATTAGTGTTCCAGATACACCTGGAAAAACAACAAAGTACGTAGGACTTCCAGAAATACTGTAAGCTGTAATGCTGGTTAGTAACAACAGTCTTTGAATTGTTTAGGACTGTGAAAGCTGAAACATTAATTTAGGAAAACTGACTCTTCAAGGTTTACATTCTTCTTTTAGCATGTGTTCAGATAACCTGGGGATAAGATTAAGTAATTGCTGTGAAAAGTTAAATTTTTACATAGGGAATTTGTTTACTCTTTTTATAGTTTCAGATACCACTGAGTCCCAAGTTCCTCATGTGTGGAATTAAAGGAGTTTAATTATCAAGATGTTGAAAGTCATTCTGATTATCCAAGATTTTTTTTTGAGACAGAGTCTTGCTCTGTCACCAGGGTGGAGGACAGTGGCACAATCTCGGCTCACTGCAACCTCCCACCTCCCCTCACCAGTAGCTGGGACTACGAGCCACGCGCCCACCACACCTGGCTGATGTTTGTATTTTTATTAGAGACGGGGTTTCACGATGTTGTCCAGGATGGTCTTGATCTCTTGACCTCATGATCTGCCCACCTGAGCCTCCCAAAGTGCTGGGATTACAGGTGTGAGCCACGCGCCTGGCGATTATCTAAGATTTTATGACTCAGTAGTAACATTGACTTTTTGTCAGTGGAATTAGTAGTAACATTGACTTTTTGTCCATTAAAATTTTGAACAAAGTCAGTGTTACTACTGAGGACTAATAATTGTTAGGACTCTGTGGGACTATTTACAATTACTTTGATATCTGACAATAATTAGTTATAATACAGACAGATGAATATAATCAACTCCTTGAAGCAGTTGAAGCCCTTCCCTAAAGGATGATCTTCAGATTTATTTTGCTTGTTTTATTGCTTCCCAAAAAGGCAAGGATTTTTGTTTGCTTTGGTCTTTGATGATTCCCCAGCTCTTATAAGAATGCCTGAGTACATGTACCTAGGCTTTTGTGTTCAGGCAAGGATTTTTGTTTGCTTTGAGTCTTTGATGATTCCCCAGCTCTTATAAGAATGCCTGGTACATACTAGGCTTTTGGTAACTTCAGGCAAGGATTTTTGTTTGCTTTGGTCTTTGATTTAGCTCTTATAAGAATGCCTGAGTACATACTAGGCTTTTGGTAGCTTCACTAAGTGGATGAAGTGTCAGCTTCCTTAAACTCTAGCCAATTAGGATATTGGATTTTTTTTTTCAGCTCAGTATAATTTACTAAATTAATACAGTTCATTAACTCTCCTTAAGGAAACAGCATCTTATGTTAGGTTCTTCTAGATTTGTTATAGGTTCTGCCAAAATTTTAAACTCATTTTTCTTGAATGTAAAATAGTTGAAAATAGTTTTTGTGTTCTGTTGTGTGTGTGTGAAAGAAGGAGGACGGTATGAAGTGTATAATGCACTATTAGCAAGAACTTAGAATTTTTTTCTACAGTTCTGGAGTGTATATTACAGAAATAGGAAGATTTAGATCACTAATGAACAAATTAACTTTTATTTTAGCAACATGTTTTAGAGTATTTAATGGTTTTTGTTTTCTGGTGGTATTCTCATTTGCCTAAAGACAACTTTTAAAAACTGAAGGCCGAGGCCGCAGTGGCTCAAGCCTGTAATCCCAGCACTTTGGGAGGTCAAGGCGGGTGGATCACGAGGTCAGGAGATCGAGACCATCCTGGCTAACACGGTGAAACCCGTCTCTGCTAAAAATACAAAAAAAACTAGCTGGGCGAGGTGGCGGGCGCCTGTAGTCCCAGCTACTCGGGAAGGGAGTGAGGCAGGAGAGAGGGAATGGCGTAAACCCGGGAGGCGGGCTGCAGTGAGCGAGATCGGCCACTGCACTCCAGCCTGGGCGACAGAGTGAGACTCCGTCTCAAAAAAAAAAAAAAATACTGAAACTGGATTTTTTCCAACTTTATCATTGAGGAGTATAATTCACATACAGTAAATTGTACATATTTAGTGTCATAATTTTTCTAGTCAAGAAAGTGGCGAAAATATAATTTGATGAGTTTTGGCCACACATATACATCTGTAAAACCATGACCCACAGTTAAGACAGTAAACGTGTTTATTACCCAAGTGTTTTCCATACCCCTTTGTAATTCCTCCCTCACCTTTTGTCTCCCTCCCCCATCCGTCTGCAACCACTGGTCTGCTTTCTATCAGGGTAGATTTGTTTGATGAAACTGAATTTTAAATTTATTTTTATTTCCGTGAAAACTGGACCAGGATGTAACAAGTCAAAGCTCGAGTAGAAGAACTGGATAGAAAATGATACAAAGTAAAAATAAGAAAGATGAATTACAAAGTGAAGAAAGTTAGTATTTAGACTAAAATATGCATTAATTTCTTGAATAATATTTGTTACTAGGTGTTATGTAGTCTTTAAGTTACAAATTAACGGTCAGCTTGTTTTCTATATTTGGTCTAAACTGTATACTATTAATGCATCCTCATATGTATTTTAAAATTAAAGACAGTCTAATTTTTATTTATTAGCTACTTGTGGAGAGAGAAATGCAGAACAGCAAGCACTTGCTGCCAAAAGAAGATCTTGAAAAAGAAGCAACAACTTCTTAGAGCGGCTTAGCGGGGAAGGTGGGCAGGTTCTTTTCATCATACCTGTTTACACTGAGTCATTGAGTTCATCGTTATGTAAAATTTACTACCTTTCAAGTGTAGGTCATGGGTTCCAAGTGATAAATAGGAGTCCACATTATCTTCTAAATATTAAATGATAGAGATTTAAATAGTTTTATTACTACACATACTATAAATAGTAGCACTTTTGATTTTCAGATAAAGAGCCCATTTTTAACACTACTGTTATAAAGACAGAACCTATCATATAAGGTGTTACATGTAGTTGGCATATGGTGAGGTAATGTGTTTGTTGGAGATGTTTAGTTTAATGCGGTATGTTTTAAAATGTATGTTGTTGTGGTCTCATTCCTTACCAGGAGTTTCATTGGTGATAAAATTTTAATATTTTCATTTTCTGACAATTGACGAGCCATTTTAAATGGAATAGACAGCATAAACAAAGTGCTAGACCACTTTCGTCGAAAAGGAATAAACCAGCATGTTCAAAATGGCTATCATGGCATTGTGATGAATAACTTTGAATGTGAACCAGCTTTCTACACATGCGTGGAAGTCACTGCTGGAAACAGGTTAAAGCTTTTGCTTGATATTTAGCATTTTTAGAAGAGGGAATAAGAATAGCCTAAGAAACTTTTTGTAGTTTTGTGCATCATATCTTCCATTATCTTTTTATACCTCGGTTCCTTATCAAGCTTTCTAATTAAAGAAGTAGATGCTAAGTATTTGTTCTAATTATAGAAGCTAGAACTTTCCCTTTTGGGAGTTCTCCTCCGCCATTAGAATTTTTAAAGTAGTCTTTATTTTTCCAAAATTATTTGGATTATATAGCAAAAGTTAATTGTTTGATGCTTAGAGTGTTTATAACACTTTAAAAATTACACATCTTGATCCCAGCTATGCAGGAGGCTGGTGGGAGGATTGCTTGAGTCTAGGAGTTCAAGATCAGTTTGGGCAACATGGGAAGACCTTGTCTCAAAAAAAAAAAAAAAAAAGTACCAATAAAGATTTGTCTTACTCTCTTTATATTCAGGTTATTTTATCACATTGTTGATTCAGATGGAAGTCAGCCGCGAAGATTTTAATGGAGTTTAATAAAATGAATCTTCCTGGAGGAGTTACTTTTCTGCCTCTTAACAAGTTAGATGTCAGGGATACTGCTGCCTATCACCAAAACCAAGTGTAAGTCAATGTGTGATAAGGTCTATTTCTCTTTTATAATGTTTTTGTCACATAAAATAACAAGTTAGATGTCAGGGATACTGCCTATCCTGAAACCAATGTGAGTCAATGTGTGATAAGGTCTATTTCTCTTTTATAATGTTATTTTTTGTCACATGGTCTAACACATGCTAGTGCCAGTCACTACACTGGGATTCAATGGTCTATGAGATAAAAATGCCTGTCTTCCCATGGACCTTAGTGCTGAGTGGGTTTTGGGAGGAGACAGAAGTCACAGCCATGATCCGTGGTGTAGTGATGTGCGCCTGTAATCCCAGCTACTTGGGAGGCTGAGGTGGGAGGATCATTTAAAAAAGAAAAAAAAGCCAGAGATACGAAACAAATCATTGCAAATGTACAGTGTTAAAAGCGTAAGTACAGGATACTTTGAGAGTATATCTGGGAGTGACATAATTAAGGTTAGGGAGTTGGAGAAAAATTCCCAAGGAACTGTCATGTAAAGATTTAAAGTGTCTTGATATATTTTAAAAACAAATTAAATGAAAAAAATGGCTAGTAAGGTGATAGACTTCAGAAGCATAATATTGCTGTTACTAGCTAGTGAACTTTAAGTGGATTAAAAATATTCTTCAGACACCATTCTTAGAACAGTGTAATTGCTTTGAGGTACTTGGCTTCAGAATGTTACAGTGGTAGTATCAACTGTTTTACCATCCCCTGAAGTTAAAAGCTGAAACCCCATGAGGAATGATCAGTAATTTAAGTGGAACATTAAGAATTGTAAGCTATCAGGAGTCTAGCTTTTCTGCTATCACATCTATAAATTGTTTTGAAGTTTGGGTAAGAAAATTGGAGTCTCAAAAACATGATGTATGAATGGGACGAGACACAAAGGAATACATGGGGGTGTGGTTCTGTTTTACGCTATAAAAACAAAACCAAACTTAGATGAGAATAGGGGCAGTGGCTCATGCCTGTAATCCCCTCACTTTGGGAGAAGGTGGAAACAGATCACCTGGGAGGTTGGGAGTTCAAGACCAGCCTGGCCAACACATATGAGCCTGTCTCTACTAAAAATACAAAAATTAGCTGGACATGGTAGTGGGCAGCTGTAATCCCAGGTACTTGGGAGGCTGAGGCGGAAGAAAATGCTTGAACTGGGGGGCAGAGGTTGCAGTGAGCCAAGATCATGCCACTGTACTTCATCCTGGCAACAGAGCAAGACTCATCAAAAAAAAAATAGAACTAGGAAATACAAGAAGTGATTAGCACAGTCATGGCGGTGGTCATTTTCTGGCAGGTAACCACCGTAGTTAAATGCTATGTGATTAGGAAAGAATACACCCATAGCTTCTGGGGTATCAGCATTATCTGTTTCTTGTGCTGTGTGATGGTTATGTTGGTGTTCTCTTTATTAATTTACACTGAACACTTAACTACATTTTTCTGTATATGAGATATATTTTCATAATTTTAAAAATTCCAAAAATCCTGTTCTAACAGTTTAGGAGAGAGAAAATGAAATTCTATCTGACAAAATATTTTCCTGAATATCTAATTTGAATATATAAAATATGTAAAAATTAAAACATTGAAATCTTATTTATATTTAGCCCTTTTATATGAGAGATACTATCTAAGTTTTGCATATATTAACTCATTTAAACCGCAGCACATAAGGAAGGTATGCTTATTGTCTACAATTTTGTAAGATCGATAACTATTATTTGAGGAAGTTAAGCAGATTTTGTCCACAGCACACATCTGATAAATGGTGAAACCAGTGTTTGAATTTGGGCAGTCTAACTACAGAACCACTAAACTCTTTACACTATTAGGCTCTACTGTTGAAAACCTTGATTATATAAGAGCAAAATTACAGGATATTCTAGTGGAATGGTCTTCTAACTACTTAAGGGAAAAACCCCAATAGTTTTGAAATACTCAATAGTGTTTGATTTGTTGTATTTCATAAAGATGTCTTTTGTAATTCTAAGTTTTTAGTGAACTGTGATCTGTTCACAAAATTCATTTAGAGATGCTATTCCTATGATCAGCAAACTGAGGTACAATTCCAGGGTCGACAAAGCTTTCAAACATGTTTTGGAAGACTCTTGTTGTCGTAGACATGGAGGATTTCAACCCAGCTGACGTGCTTTCACTATGGACTGTATTACTTTGGAAGGTTTGTAATACTAATTCTTAGCTTTAAACAGATAAATTCTAACAAATCATTTAAAACATAATCTGGCTGGGCACAGTGGCTCACGCCTGTAACCCCAGTACTTGGGAGGCTGAGGCGGGTGGATCACCTGAGAGTCAGGAGTTCAAGACCAGCCTGGCTAAGCACGAGGGCGAAACCCTGTCTCCACTAAAAATAACGAAGATTTGCTGGGTATGGTAGTGTGCACCTGTAGTCCCAGCTACTCAGGAAGTGGGGGCAGGAGAATCGCGCTTGACCTTAGGCAGTGGTTGCAGTGAGCCGAGATCACGCCACTGCACTCCAACCTGGGTGACAGAGCGAGACTGTCTCAAAAAAGAGAGAGACATATAATCTGTGCCAATATGTCACTTGAGCTATATGCATGTCTGATGAATATATCTTAGCAAGTATTTTGGAGGGATTCTGGTTTTGAGAGTATTGAAAAATTCATCCTTTGCCTTTGGCTGGAGTGTGATGGCTCACATCTGTAACCCCAGCACTTTGGGAAGCTTGAGGCAAGTGGATCACTTGATGCCGGGAATTCAGGAGCCCCAGCCTAGCCAACATGGCGAAACCCACATCTCTCACTAAAAATACAAAAATTAGCTGGGTGTGGTGGCGTGCGCCTGTAATCCCAGCTACTCAGGAGGCTGAGGCATGAGAGTGGCTTAAATGCGGGAGGCAGAGCGTGCAGTGAGCCAAGATCACACCCCTGCACTCCAGCCTGGGTGATAGAGCAAGACCCTGTCTCAAAAGAAAAAAAAACATTTATTTTCAATTATTTTATCGTTTTTAAATAGTTGGTTTGTTCAATTGAAGTCAGACAGGGTTTGTACTTGATGCTTAGTTGATGTCTCTGAAATGTAATCATTTGGTATGTGGCAGGGTTCTTAACCTTTTTGCAGTGTGGACTGCTTTGGCTATTTGAAGCCTATGGATACTTCCTCACAATTTTTTTTTTTTTTTACTTTTTCTTTTCTACAACAAGCATTCAACTAATTTTTAATGCTTAGAATAAAATACTTTGGATCACAAAGATGTATTGTAAGATTATTTTAAAAATATAATTTTTGGCTGGCGTGGTGGCTCATGCCTGTAATCCCAGCACTTTGGGAGGCGAGGTGGGTGGATCACGAGATCAGGAGATGAGACATCCTGGCCAACACGGTGAAACTCCATCTCTACTAAAAATGCAAAAAAAAGAATTGGCGGGCGTGGTAGCGGCGCCTGTAGTCCCAGCTACTCGGGAGGCTGAGGCAGGAGAATGGTGTGAACCTGGGAGGTGGAGCTTGCAGTGAGCCGAGATCGTGTCTGGGATCTCGTGTCTGGGATCACTGTAACACAGGAGACACAGTGAGACTCTGTCTCAAAAAAAAAAAATAATAATAATAATTCTTTAATGTATTCAAAAAACAAGATTTAGTAGTGGGTCTAATAACTACCATAAGTTTGAAGTACTGATACATGTAAACTATTTTGAGATCTGATAAGTGTAATCTGATATGAAATAAGCTCTTCTTTTAGTAAAGTCTGAGTACTAATACTACTACTGTGTGGTTCTTTGTCCTGTTCATTATAGAAGGAAATGTTAAATCTCATTTTGAGGTTAATAAAAATAAAGATGTAAATTTTTTTCCTATTCGAATCACAGATCTTCTGAATTTTATCTTTGGAATTCAGGTTAAAAGAAACCTCCCAGTATATAAGTTTACCTGCCCTCAATTTTTTTTTTTCTCTTTATTTATTTGTTAAAGAAAGCAGGCTAAATACGTCTCCCCCAAGCTTTGTTTCTGTATATGTACATTTTGTTGTGGTTTTGAACCATCTGAGAATAAGTAAAACATGACACTTCATCTCTAAAATTTAAGCATGGGTCTCCTAACAATAAGAACATCCTTTTGTATAGCCACAGTATCATTGTTACACCTAAGAAATTTAACATTAACCTAATATCTTCTAAAAGTATCCATATTCAAACTTTGTTTTCTAAAATATTTATTTTTTCTATCTAGGATTCAATCAAGTATGCATGTGTAATTGTCTTCTCTTTAGATTCTTTAAATATAGAACAGTTACCCTTCCCCTTCTCCCCACCTAGAAAAATCCAGAAAAGTTCCATTTTCTGGATTTGTCTTACAACTTCCTCATCGTTTATTGTTGACCTTGAATGTATATACTTACGGTGTCATATAATGTGTCTCATTATTAGCAATACTACTAGGTTTGATCACCTGCAGATCTCTCCATTGTAAAGGTACCCCTTTTGCCCCTTTGTAGTTTAATAATATGTGAGATTATTCTTCAAGACTACATGAATGTCAGGTTCTCCCAACAGCACACCGGTGCTTTAGCACCTTTGTTACTCTTGCCTGAATCAGTTATTACACTGGGAGTTTAAAAATGGTGATTCTTGAATTCTGTTATTGCTACTGCATTTATTAGCTGTCACTCTTCTGTAGAGAAGAGTCTCCACTTTTCATTTTTTTAAAAGTATCACTGTGATTCATGGATTATTTTTTAAAAAATAAAATGTGTTATTATACTGGTATTGTTACTTTGAAGTGTAAATTTTCCTAAATAGGGCCAGTGGAAATTTCAGGCTAGGTCCTGTGTCCTACTAATATGTCCTCATTAGTCTTCAATACTTCCTTGCTCTCTGGTAAGCGTTCCAGTTCAACTCACGAGTTTTGTTAGAAAAAAAAAAAAAAACTGCGAGTTTTGTCTGGAGCAAAAAAAAAAAAAAAAAAAACTGCGAGTTTTGTCTGGGCACAGTGGCTTGACCCTGTAATCCCAGATGCTTGAGAGGCTGAAGCAGGAGGGTCACTTGAGGCCGGAAGTTTGAGAACCACCTGGGCACATAGCAAGACCTGGCCTCTACAAAAAAGGTGTGGTGGTACACACCTGTTCCTAGCCACTCAGGAGGCTAAAGCAGGAGGATCACTTGAATCCAGGAGTTTGAGGCTGCAGTGAGCTGTGGCCACAGCACTGCACTCCAGCCTGAGCAAGAGAGCAAGACTCTGTCTCAAAAAAAAGGAAATTTTAGCATTGAAAAGCAATTTTTTCAGGGAGGTTTAAATTCTTTTCAATTCTCATTATGTACTTAAAGCCTGCAGGTTAGTTTTTTTCATTATAAGTCAATTTATCATTGAATAAAAGTTATACAGACCTATCACATATGTTTTGTTTATAGGTGACCAGGTCAGTCATCGAGGTGCTCTAACTGGGGGTTATTATGACACAAGGAAGTCTCGACTTGAATTGCAGAAAGATGTTAGAAAAGCAGAAGAAGAACTAGGCGAACTTGAAGCAAAGCTCAATGAAAACCTACGCAGAAATATTGAAAATATCTTTTTGTTTTGTGCATAATGATAGATATTGTGGGGAAAGAACTGTGTTTTGGTTGCCATATATAATCTTTTGTTTTTTCACATATATATTAAAACTTTGTGTTTTAAGTTCAGGGCTTATGTTTGTTTAGCTTTTGAAGACTAAAAGCTATTTTAATGATTCTTTAAGTGTTAAGTAGCTAATACCATCAAGTCACTTGGAAGAAAAGAACCCATAGAACACCAAAATACAGGTTGTATCAGGCAAAGAAAGGGGAAACTGAGAAGGATCAGTTAGTGAATTGTATAAGGAAAACCTTGGTAGTGTTTTTTGATTTTTTTTCTTGTTAAATTTATGTAAGCAAGAGATAATGTTTTAAGGAAGAGAGTGAGAGGCATCAGTAATGTTACATACTGCTTAGAAGTCAAATATGTAAGGACCGGCAGTTCGTTGTACTTGTGTGGTGGCACAGGCCTGTAGTCCCAGCTACCTGGGAGGCTGAGGCAGGAAGATCACTTGAGCCTGGGAGGTGGAGGTTGCAGTGAGCTGATATCGCACCACTGCACTCCAGTCTGGGTGACAAAGTGAGACCGTGTCTCAAAAAAAAAAAAGGGGGGGGTGGCAGGGGAGGGTGAAAAATGTTAGATTTTACTGTCTTGAAGTTATTTGGTGCAAATTTGATGTCAGTGGAGGAAATGGCTGTCAGATAACCAAGTCTGAGTAACCATAGTCGTTAGTTCAGTTCACAAATGAAACAATTGTGTATGTGGATTTTCTTAAAATCACCATGGTGCTTTGGTATAAGACAAAAGTACTTTGTGTGTGCTTTCTGTTTCGCCAAACAAGTTGAAAAATAGAGGTACTTGAGCATCAAGAATAAAGTTAGTAGTTTTTACTGCTTCAAGTGAAACTGGCATTTTTTAAAAACTGCAGATACATACCTTCTGTGCCATCAGTGCAAGCACAGAAAAAGAAAAATAAGCACCTGTGCTTTGACCTTGCAGGGGTCTGCATATCACACTTTAAAGAACTGCCTGAATTTGGCAAGATGTTGACACAGAGTATGGGGAAATACTGAGGAAAAGGAGGATGTTGACAGTGTGTACCAGCTGTCTTCCTGTGTTTGATAATCCAGCTAGATTGAATTATTTCTTCCACATATGGCAAGAACCAGTCTTCATACATAAACCCTTAACATAGTGCCTTAAGCATAGTAACAGTAAATATTTGTTGAATGAAAAGATACTTAAAAGTATGTAATATTGTTAGATTTCACCTAGCCTCCTTTATGGTTTTCCAAGAATTTGTTTTGTATAGCTTTTAGTAAAACAGTATACATGTTATTCTGAGAGTGAAATGGTGGGGTGTGAAATGTTTCAAGCTTATGATTGAACGCATTTTGGGTAATACAGTTCAGCATTGTTTTGGTCCATAAATTTGAGGACATGAATGTTATTTGGGGGTAAAGAAAAGAAGGGATATATGGTGTTGTGTCTAAAAAGAATTCAGAACATGATACATTTACCACCTGGAGATAATTTTCCTTAGCCTTGTATATGGATTAATAATGAAATTGATCAGTTGATGAACCAAATGCAACAGATTGAGACCCAGCAAAGGAAATTTAAAGCATCTAGAGATAGCATATTATCAGAAATGAAGATGCTAAAAGAGAAGAGGCAGCAGTCAGAGAAAACCTTCATGCCTAAGGTTCGTAAGTATATCTTTGGTTATAGACCAACTGTTACAGATTAATGTGGATCATACATTATATGGGTTATCCTTGAATTTTATGCTTCATTTTTGTTTGGACCCATACTTTTTTTTTTTTTGAAGACAGAGTCTCACTCTGTCTCGCCCTCGCCCAGGCTGCAGTGCAGTGTGTGTTCTCAGCTCACTGCAGCCTCCACCTCCTGGGTTCAAGCGATTTTCCTGCCTCAGCCTCCTGAAGAGCTGGGACTACAGACGTGCACCACCACATCCGGCTAATTTTGTGTTTTTAGTAGAGATGAGGTTTCACCATGTTGGCCAGGCTGGTCTCAAACTCCTGACCTCAGGTGATCCGCCTGCCTTGCCCTCTCAAAGTACTGGAATTACAGGTGTGAACCACTGGGCCCAGGCTGGACCCATACTTTTGGATGTCTGCATCTGTTTTACCATTCTTAAACCCATGAATACCCAGAGTCTCCTGTTGTTGGCACATTCAAACTTTCCACCTGCGTTGAACAAATAGGCATTTGAAGCTATGACATAACTGTCTGATGGTCAGTTTTTGTCAGTAACCATTTTTATCTGAAGCACAGTGGAATTAGCTGAATATTTGATTCCATTTTGTCCAGACTGTATTAAAATTAGAAAGCAAACTTACGTGATAGTATGTTATTGGTCTCATAAACTTGACAGTTTTGACCAATCTTTTACGTAGTATAATACTAAAACTACAAAGAGCTTAAAAAAAAAGCACACACACACACAAGATATGCCTACAATTGTACCATCCCAACACATTCTGACAACTTTTGGTTTTTTTGGGATGGAGTCTCGCCCTGTCACCTAGGCTGGAGTGCAATGGCATGATCTCGGCTCGCTGCAACCTCTGCCTCCCGGATTCAAGTGATTCTCCTGCCTCGGTCTCCCGAGTAGCTGGGATTACAGGCACACGCCTCCATACCCAGCTAATTTTTGTATTTTTAGTAGAGACGGGTTTCACCATGTTGGCCAGGCTCATCTCGAACTCTGAACCTCGTGATCCACCCGCCTTGGCCTCCCAAAGTGCTGGGATTACAGGTGTGAACCACCATGCCCAGCAACTTTTTATTATAGTATGCCTGAAGATTTTTGTATAGTTTAATCATGGAATATGATCTGGCCCACCCTGCCCCACCTATACTATTACATCGTATGTTTTTTGTTGCTAGAGTCCTAATTACCACATTAATAGGCACCTAATATTTGAGTTATGTCTTTGTATTTAGCTCAAATCAAATACAGATTGTTTTAAAATTTTCACTATAAGTAATCCAGAGGCTAATACCTTACTAATAAACGGATAACGTCATATAGCAACGTAGCTTACAGAGTTTGGAGGCAAGCTTGCATGCTATGGAGTCTACCAGAGAATCATTGAAAGCAGAACTGGGAACTGATTTGCTTTCTCAACTGAGTTTGGAAGATCAGAAGAGAGTAGATGCACTGAATGATGAGATTCGTCAACTTCAGCAGGTAAGTACATGGCTGACTGGAAAAAAAAATTCATTAGTAATTGGCTATTGTGAAAAGTGCCTTTCTTGCTAACTAGGGGAATATGAAAGAAAAGAACTGAGAAAATATTAAAATGAGGCTTGGACTTTTAATACCCATAGGAGTAAACAAGATTTTGTTTTTCTAAACCGTTCTAGCTAGGTTAGGATTATACAAGATATTTTCATTTCCTTACAGTTTAATTAGCATTACTTATTAGTTGTATTGCTATTAGTAAGTTTGAGCTTGTTAGACTTACCATATTTATCTTACTACCTTTACATATTTAATATTTTAATTAAACATTTGAATTGATTTTTTTTTTTTTTGAGACGATTCTTGCTCTGTCGCCCAGGCTGGAGTGCAGTGGCATGATCTCAGCTCACTGCAAGCTCCACCTCCCGAGTTCACACCATTCTCCTGCCTCAGCCTCCGAGTAGCTGGGACTACAGGCGCCCGCCACCACGCCTAATTTTTTTTTTTTTTTAGTAGAGACCGTGTTAGCCAGGATGGTCTCGATCTCCTGACCTTGTGATCCGCCCGCCTCGGCCTCCCAAAGTGCTGGGATTACAGGCTTGAGCCACCGTGCCTGGCCTTTAATAGATTTTTAAAACTGCATAGATGTAAACCACCAACACTGATTCTAAAAAATGAAAAGCAATTAAAGAAACCGTTTTTGACAGCAAGCATTACAAAAAGAGTCAGCCACAGAAATTTAACATTATGAATTGATAAGAGAAAAATGAAGAAAGTATAGGGCTTTTTTGAAGAATATAATGTATTAAACTTCATTTCAGCTCAATGTGAGCACAAGTACTAGAGAGGACAGCAGATGAGCACTCTTCCTGTGTGTGAAATATACGTGCTTATGTAGACTTTTTCTTAATTCTAGGAAAACAGACAGTTGCTAAATGAAAGAATTAAATTAGAAGGTATTATTACTCGAGTAGAGACTTATCTCAATGAGAATCTGAGAAAACGCTTGGACCAAGTAGAACAGGTGTGTATGTGTTTCTTTTTTAAGGGCTCCTTGGTGGCCATGACCTACTGCAAGTGGTTATATCAGAGGCTCTGATTGAAAGCAAGGGCTTTGGGGACAGAAAGCTTAGTGTCTGTGGGCCTTGGGTTGGAATTCTGCCACCTAGTGTGTGATTTTGGACAAGTCACTTACTATTGCTAAGCCTCAGTTTCTTGTGTAAATTAAATATTATCATAGTTTTATATAATTGCTATCGTGGCACATTCTAAGTACTTAGTAAATGTTATAGTTTTTCAGTGGTGGTTAGATGCTTAGAAATTTTCTAGTAATTATGTCTTTTTCTTCCCTTTAATGGATACTTTAAGTATATTTCTAATTATATGAAGTATTTATATTTTTTGGTTTTCTTGAATGTTTGTTCAGACAATAGCTGTAGAAAATGTTGGCAGTCATAACATTTGAAACTAATGGAATTTACATTTTTTATTATAGGAACTTAATGAGCTGAGAGAGACAGAAGGGGGTACTGTTCTCACTGCCACAACATCAGAACTTGAAGCCATCAATAAAAGAGTAAAAGACACTATGGCACGATCAGAAGGTGAATTTTTATGTAGTAAAATTTTGTTTACATACATGTTTTCTAAAATTGTTTACTGCAGAATAAAAGGTCCAAATAGGCAGAAGCATATACTAATGATTTTTTGTTTTCCATTATAAACAATGTGTAGTGAATGGAATTTAGTAAGTTGACTATAAATAGGAAGTTTTTACTGAAATGTTTGTGACAATTGAGACCATAAATGATTCATTTTGTTGATAAAATATGAAATACTTGACTCAAGTTTCTCTTATCACTTAGTTGCTAATAGTTTATAAGCATTAACATTGAATAATGAAAATTATATATTTGAGTGACTTATATATACTTCTAATTTTGTACTGATTTAAATGGTTCATAAATTTTCACAGAAAATTTTAAACACTGACAAAAACCTAAAACCTATTTTGGTGGGTTTGATCATAAAAATCTTTACTCAAATAACGCTGTAACACTGGCTTTAAACTAGATATTATAGCCTAATTTTGTTTTTCCCCCCCATCTTAGATTTGGACAATTCCATTGATAAAACAGAAGCTGGAATTAAGGAGCTTCAGAAGAGTATGGAGCGCTGGAAAAATATGGAAAAAGAACATATGGATGCTATAAATCATGATACTAAAGAACTGGAAAAGATGACAAATCGGCAAGGCATGCTATTGAAGAAGAAAGAGGAGTGTATGAAGAAAATTCGAGAACTTGGATCACTTCCCCAGGAAGCATTTGAAAAGTACCAGACACTGAGCCTCAAACAGGTTGGTTTTAAATTTGAAGTCTTGTTACAAATTGCTTGGTATGTAAATTTATTTATATGAATACATATTTTCTCTTTTTAGTTGTTTCGAAAACTTGAGCAGTGCAACACAGAATTAAAGAAGTACAGCCATGTTAACAAAAAGGCTTTGGATCAGTTTGTAAATTTCTCAGAGCAGAAAGAAAAGTTAATAAAGCGACAAGAAGAGTTAGATAGGGGTTACAAATCGATCATGGAGCTGATGAATGTACTTGAACTTCGGAAATACGAAGCTATTCAGTTAACTTTCAAACAGGTATGTTTTGCTTTGTAGTAAAAATATACACAGGACAAAAGCTTCAGCTCTTACTCAGTTTGTAAAGATTTTAAAGCTGTTTTCCTCATTAACAGGTGAATCTAATACATGTGAACAAATCTAGCATATAGGTTTACAGTAACTTGAATGTTTTACACAGCCTTTAGAAGGATCCAGTCTGTTATCCTTGTTAAGATTAAAAAATAATTGGTAGCTTTTAAATATTTTACTTGTTAATGTATAATTCTACCTAAGCAAAATTTATATTTCAGTCTTTTTTTTTTTTAAGGTATCCAAGAACTTCAGTGAAGTATTCCAGAAGTTAGTACCTGGTGGCAAAGCTACTTTGGTGATGAAGAAAGGAGATGTGGAGGGCAGTCAGTCTCAAGATGAAGGAGAAGGGAGCGGTGAGAGTGAGAGGGGTTCTGGCTCACAAAGCAGTGTCCCATCAGTTGACCAGTTTACTGGAGTTGGAATTAGGGTAAAATACCTTTATATTCCATTTTCCTCAGAGCATTACCATAATAGAATTTATAGTATCTTTTGCATATCTGATTGGTGCATTATATGCAAGTTACTTTTGGAAGATGGTGGTGGTTCTACCCTTTAGGATATTAACTCATGTGTTTATTCTTAGGTGTCATTTACAGGAAAACAAGGTGAAATGAGAGAAATGCAACAGCTTTCAGGTGGACAGAAATCCTTGGTAGCTCTTGCTCTGATTTTTGCCATTCAGAAATGTGACCCAGCTCCATTTTACTTGTTTGATGAGATTGACCAGGCTCTGGATGCTCAGCACAGAAAGGCTGTGTCAGGTACAGTTCAGTACAGTTTTGGTTTTGTATTTAACAATAAGCTGGTAATATTTGCTGATACATGTATGAAAAAATCAAACTCAGGCAGTTTTGAATTTTAGTAAGAGTAAAGATAGTTGCTTTTTAAACTTTCAGCTCTGCTGAAAAGAGAAATTTGTTAAAGCACTATTTCCTTTTTACAGATATGATTATGGAACTTGCTGTACATGCTCAGTTTATTACAACTACTTTTAGGCCTGAACTGCTTGAGTCAGCTGACAAATTCTATGGTGTAAAGTTCAGAAATAAGGTAATTTTTTAAGTTTGTAATTAATTTGTTGAATTCTGGTTTTATGTTAAATAGTGAAAGAAAACTTAGAAAGTCTTTGCTTATCTGATGTCTTTTTAAAGAAAAAAGTTTTCCTTCAAATAACTATGAAGTTTACCAATAGTTTATGGCATTGCATTCGTTTTATTTTCATTGGCATTAGCAAACCATATCTTTCTATCCAGTCTATTCAGTGCTTCTGTAATGCACAATCTTTAACAATTACATATGTTCATTTGTATGGACTGCATAGCTCTTCCTGGGTGTCTTCCCAACCTTAACATTATTGATGAAATAGCAAAGTAATAGAAAGTGAATAAAAGGTAGTTTAGATGTTTAGGCATGGTATTTCTTCATGGTATTTCTTATTAAAATACATATTTTTTAAATCCATGCATTGAACAAACACCACTGTAAATAAAGGTTTTATAAGTCAGTGCTTCAGAATTATTTTACTTCATATGTAAAATATAGGTGATAGGCTGTGCGCAGTGGCTGACGCCTGTAATCCCAGCACTTTGGGAGGCCAAGGCAGGTGGATCACCAGGTCAGGAGTTTGAGACCAGCCTGGCCAGTATGGAGAAACCCTGTCTCTACTAAAAATATGAAATTAGCTGGGCATGGTGGTGTGAGCCTGTAGTCCCAGCTACTTGGGAGGCTGAGGCAGAAGAATTGCTTGAATTTGGGAGGCGGAGGTTGCAGTGAGCCATGATCGTGCCACTGCACTCCAGCCTGGGCGACAAGAGCAAGACTCCATCTCAAAAAAAAAAAAAAAGAAAAAAAAGAAAAATTTAAAAATGTAGGTGATGGGCTGTATATATTACCCTATACAATGCAAACAGATGTATTTAACAGATTTTGTTTTTAACATTTATTCTTCAGGTTAGTCATATTGATGTGATCACAGCAGAGATGGCCAAAGACTTTGTAGAAGATGATACCACACATGGTTAATTGGAAAATACTACCTACTGGTTTGGGAGATGTGTATAGTAATATGATTCTCATACCCAGGAACTGTGAATTTAAACCTAAATATTTGGCCATTATTAATAGTTTTCAGACTTAAAGCATCATAGTCCTTTTATATTTGTCTTTGTATTTTATAAGATACTCTGTAATGTCATGTTTGTACTTATAGTTTAAGAATTTTGTTTCCTGTACAACTTTTTGTAAAATGTCCTGCTATTTTAAATCTTTTGAAACATGCTAAATATTCTTTCCTAATTGTTTTATCACTTATACTGCCTTTTTTATAGCTTCAATTAAATAATTGGTTTATGACTAATTTAGTGTTTTATGTGGCTTTTCATTTGTCATAGTCTTTTCCAGTGAGAACACTAATCAGATTGGATGTAAGGCCTCATTTTAACTTAATAACCTCTTTAAAAGGCCTGTCTCCAAATACAGTTACATTTGAGGTATTGAGGGTTAGGACTTCAACATGTGAATTTGGGAAGGGAAGCACAAAATCAGCCCCTACCAACCATAGTATATTTATCATTGATATATTGCTATCAACTAAACTCAAGATTTCATTCAGATTTGACTAGTTTTTCTACTAAGGCCCTTTTCCTTTTGTAGGATCCCGCAGAGGATACTACATTACATTTACTTACATCTCTTCTAGTCTGTGAGAGTTTCTGTCATTGTTTATTATATCTTGACAATTTTGAGGAATATTCAGATATTTTGTAGAATGTCCCTCAAATTGGGTTTGATATTTTTCTCATGGGTAGATTGGGGCTAATACCACAGAAGTGAAGTATTCTCATTACCTCATATAATAGTACATATTAACATGCTTTATCACTGATGATGTTTACCTCGATCACCTACCCAACCTTGTATTTGCCAGTTTTCTTCATTGTGAGGTTACATTTTTTCCCCTTTCCGTACTCTTTTCTTTGAAAGTAGGTCTTGAAGTGCAGCCCTCACTATGGGTCTCCTGTGACCCTGGAAGACTACCTTAATAGTCCTTGTAGCTTTTTGTAGATTGACATTTTCCACATAGACAGTCATGTCATTTGCAAGAAAGAGGCAGTTTTATTTCTTCCTTTTGAAATATTTACCTTTAATTTCTTTTTCTTGTTGATTTCCCCTGGCCTCAGTTTATACTTTTTATCTGTAGGAGAATTTGTTAGGAGCTACTCTTCCATCATTGGAAACCAGAAATACCTAGAGAGATACTTTTAAAATAAATAGTAATAGGACTTTACATTGAATTTTAAAATGTGTGTTTACTTTGGGTTTTCATTTTGACTGAATCTTTAGAGTTTAAATGTTCGGTGTATTATTTATACTTTATAGCTTTGCTGTAATATAACTGATCTATAATAGATAATTTGGTATATGTTCTATCTACGACTCCATTCAAAGGGTTATGTAACTATAATATCTTTCTAATATTTCTACCATTTTTCTTACACATTTCCCCAAGAATTTTTCTTAAACATCTACCTAAGAATATTCATCATGAATGCTTGGTGTATAGTTTACAATTTGTAGATTTCCTCTGATATGACCAACCCCTTATAATACAGAATTTGGTGTAAGGTAAGTTCCAAGATTCAATTCAAAGGATGTTACAGACATAGCATCATTCTAAAACTTAATAATATTCTTAAGCGTTTCCCAAAAGATATTAGTATGACGAAATGCCAGTAAATTTATAATAAAGCACCTAATAATGAAACAATAAATTTTTGTAAAAGCCTATATTCTTTGCGATATCTTAGTCATGAGTTGTTAATTCTAATGAAACTGAATAGAAAAATGTGACAATCCTGAGCATACTTAACCCAGAAACTTAGAAAGACAGACATTTACCCAAGGAGTTAGCCAATGATTCATAAAATCTAAGTGCTTCTCTTTGGCTGGAGAGTCCTTTCCTCAGAGTAGTACTGATTCTTCCACTTGCAGATTTTGTTAATACTGTTACAAATGCATTACATTCACCATAGTGGAATTGAAGAACATATATTTTAAGAGATGGGGGGTCTCATCCCATCACCCAGGCTGGAGTGCAGTGGCAGGATCACAGCTCACTGCAATCTTGAACTCCTGGGCTCAGGTGATCTTCCACTTTGGCCTGCCAATATTAATATTTTGGGACATTTCCTTCAAATCTTCATAAAAAGTTTTGTGGTTTATTTTTATGTTTATTCTAGGTGCATAATTTTATATCTTAGATTTTTAATTAATACAGTATAAAATATTGCTGTTTTAATGCTTTGGAAACAAAATTTTAATAGCCATATGCTATTCTGTCAAGTAGAAGTAGCATAATTTACTTAACTATCCCACTGGAGGCTTAGATTGTTTTCTTTTGGCTAAAGTGCCAAAAATGAATTTAAAAAATCAACACTTTTATACATAAAACTCCCAAAATTTAGGATTATTTTCCCAGCTTAGAGTCCTAGAAGTCAGTGTGAATATTTGTAAGGATTTTTATTTACTTTTTATGCTCTTTTTGAAAAAGATGTAAAACATGAAATGGTTAATATGTAGGTTAAGGATTTGTCTACTCAAAATTAGTGAAAAAGTAATTTTATAAAATGATGCAATTTATAGAAATTTTACTGTGAATAATATAGTCAGTAGAAAATGGAGAAATAGGGAAGATTCCTTTTTTAAAAGTAAGCAATAGCAAACTTGTCTTTGGAAATATTTAGTTAATTCTTAAAAAGTGTTTCTCTTTTAATAACTCTTTAGGCCAGGTGCGGTGGCTCACGCCTGTAATCCCAGCACTTTGGGAGGCCGAGGCAAGCAGATCACTTGAGATCAAGAGCTCAAGACCAGCCTGACCAACATGGTGAAACCCCATTTCTACTAAAAATACAAAAATCAACGGGGCGAAGTGACACAGGCCTATAGTCCCAGCTACTCGGGAGACTGAGGCAGGAGAATCGCTTGAACCTGGGCAGTGGAGGTTGCAGTGAGCTAAGATTGCGCCACAGCACTCCAGCCTGGGAGACAGTGAGACTCCATCCAAAAAAAAAAAAAAAACTCTAAATAAAAGGACTAGTACTTTGATTCAGCTTCCCACAAAGGGAGAAGACTAGTGTTTAAAGTGAACAGTATTCAGATTTCACTATCACCCAGTAAATGGTCTTACACAGGATACAGCTTCCAGTTGTTGGGTGCTTGCTACAGAGGTACAGAGATTATGTTCTGTCTTAAAGATTTAAGAACTCCTTTTCATAAAAATTCTGCTAGGTATAGTGGCTCATACCTGTAATACCAACATTTTTAGAAGCTGGAGCAGGAGGATCATTTGAGCCAGGAGTTTGAGACCAGCCGGGGCAACATAGTGAGATCCCATTTCTACAAAAAATTTGAAAATTACCTGGGTGTGGTGGCCACACCTGTAGTCCCAGCTACTTGGGAGGCTGAGGTGGAAGGGGTCACTTGAGCCTGGGAGGAAAAAGTGTTACATTTACGAAATACTATTCATTCTGTATCTTTTTACTCAGGCATATCTCCTTATCCTGGAATGCTAATAATCCAGGTTTGTGTATTTATGCTTAGTCCGCTATCTTAAATGGAGGGAAGTGTAAATGGAACCAGTTGCACATTAACGCAGTTTAAATGGTAACAGCAAAGTGTTAGCCTGCTACTTAGGAGGATCTTTCCTTCCCTACTTGGTATTTTCCTTTTTTTTTTTTTTTTTTTTTTTTTTTTTTTAAAGACAGGGCCTCACTCTTGTTCAGGCTGGAGTGCAATGGCTCAATCATAGCTCAATGTCATCTCCAACTCCTGGGCTCAAGGGTTCCTCCCACCGCACCCTCCCAAGTAGGTAGCTAGAATTACAGGTATGTGCTGACTGATTTTTTTTTTTTTTCTTTTGGGGGGGGTCTCACTTTACCCAGGCTGGTGTTGAACTCCTGGCCTCAAGTGATCCTTGGCTTCCCAAAGTGTTAGAATTACAGGTGTGAGCCACTGCACCTGGCCCTTGTTTTAAAGTTATATGTAATTAGGTGGAAATTATCTTCTCCTTTTTTGTGAATATTGAGCAACAGTGATATCCTTGTTTCCTTAGTTTTATCTTTTGGAAGAAACAATTATTTCTTTTCATCCGAGAAAAGAAAGAATCTATTTCAATTGCCTATTGCCTAGAAGTATTAACAGCTTTTATTTTGGTCACAATAAGTAATTCTTGATGAAGTGGGTTAACATTTCTAGAAGGAATATTATTTTGGCAAGAGCTCAGATTTCACAAAACATGTCTTCTTAGAAATGGCTTTCGGCCAGGCATGGTGGCTCATGCCTGTAATCCCAACACTTCAAGAGGCCGAGGTGGGTGGATCGTGAGGTCAGGAGATCGAGAGCATTCTGGCTAACACGGTGAAACCCATCTCTACTAAAAATACAAAAAATTAGCCGGACCTGGTGGCATGCACCTGTAGTCCCAGCTACTCAGGAGGCTGAGGCAGGAGAATGGTGTGAACCCAGGAGGCGGAGCTTGCAGTGAGCTGAGATTGTGTCACTGCACTCCAGCCTGGGCGACTGAGCGAGACTCCGTCTCAAAAAAATAAAAAAATGGCTTTCATATCTACACTTTGTCTAAGTTAGTACTTCACAGGATATATTTAGATCCAGAGATATAACATTTTTTAGTTTAATACTTTAATTTTATAGATGAGGAAATTTGAAGTCCAGATTAGGTAAGTGACCCAAATGAATAAGTGAGCACACACAGCTTAATAACCCACAGAGCCAGAACCAAGTCCTGGCTTTCCTGCTTCAGAAGTAGGACAGACTCTTTAATACATTAGCTCTTTCTTTCTCCCAAGTTAACTATGTAAATGGGAGAGAGAGAGCACAGTGTTGACTGATCCTCCACATGACACAGAGAAATAGATTTTAAGGGCACAATTCACCATCGCTGGTTTTCTTTGCCCTTTGCGTCCCCACTCCTGTTTTCTTTAGACCGCACCTATTTAGGTATACTCCGATCACTTGTGTCAGTGTCCTAGGGGGACTGGATTACTCCTGGCTGCCAGTCTTCTGCATGAAAGATGCCAGCGTTGCTCCATAAATCTGCCACCATGTGGCACTCACTCTCCCCTTCCTAGAGACAGAGAGTCTCCTGGGTGTAAGAGCCCTTGTGGCAGCCAGTAATTGCACAGGGACATGAGGCAGCCTAGCGATTAGGTTTGCAAGAAGCACATGGATATATTTCCTCTCTCAAGTCCTCACATTGGTTGGTATAAGTCTATTATTGGAAAGAGACATTAAGATTTGAATGTTATCTCATGGATACTGTGTGTTCAGATCAGTGCCTGGA